TTAAAAATTACTTATTTTCGACAAGAATTGAATTGGAAAAAATACAAATTAAATCATTTAAGGACAACCTGCCTAAAAATGAAAGAAAAGCATTACAATCACTACGTTCAAATGATCGTATCATTATCAAAAAGGCAGATAAAAACTCCTCAACAGTTGTTCTTGATAAAGAGCTATATATAAAAATGGCAAAAGACCAATTAAATGACAATGTACACTATGAAAGAATTAACGAATCTCATACAACGGAAATACTAGAAAGTATCAACACTATTATTCATCGTCTACACAATGAATCCTACATTGATGAAGTTACATTTAAGTTTTTAATAAATGACCAGGGAAATAGATTAGGGAGACTATACTTCCTACCAAAACTTCATAAAATTAATCAATCGGATAAACAAAAGATTAAAACTGATATCAATCATTTACAGAATGTAAACGTTCCAGGAAGACCGATCGTATCCTTATGTAATAGCCCATTGGAAAAAATTGCACAATAGATCGATTATTTTATTAAACCAGTTGTCAATAAATTTTGGACATACACACAAGATACAACTTCCTTCATAAACAAATTGGAAAAAATAAGAGCACCTGCGGACATATTAATGAGCTCATTTGACATTTCAAGTATGTACACCAATCTACATCATACTGAAATTATTAATGCAATTGACAGAGCATGGCCACTAATAATGCAGTGTAAATTTGACATCCCAGTGCCACCCAAAAAGGCTTTACTGGAATTACTTAAAATTGCCCTTGCAAATAATGAATTTGAATTCAACGGGCAAATTTTCAAACAGAAAATTGGGGTTCCAATGGTATCCCCAATGTCGCCTAGTTTAACAGATATAAGAATATACGAAATCGTTTCTGAAATATTGAAACGCTTTCCATACTCGTCGGACATTTCTCTTCTTTCTGTCTACAGAGATGACGGATTCTTATTATTTAAAGGAAGCGAACAATCTCTTAAGGAATTTTACCAAATTGCAAATAGTATTCACCCACTATTAAAATTTACTCATGAAATCTCTAATAATCAAATACAGTTTTTGGATGTAACAATATTTAAAGGAACCCGATTTGAAACAGAAAAGATATTAGATGTCAAATTATATCGCAAACCTACAGATAATTACCAATACTTAGAAAAATCGTCTGCTCACCCAGCATCTGTATTCAAAGGATTTATAATTGGTGAAATTACAAGGTTCATTAGATCGTGTTGTAACAGAGATGACCTCGACACACAGATAGAAGTATTCAAACAAAAACTTACACTAAGAGGATACTTGGAAACTGAAATTAATCCGTTGATAGATAAAACACTGAGAAAAAACAGACAGAATACATTATGTTATAAAAAAAGAAATAAACAAAACTGTCCACCACTAGTACTAGCAACTAAATTCAATCCACTCTTTAAACAATTGGGAAGACGAATAAGAAAACATTGGCATTTAATTGAAAATGATATAATTGCTAAGAATTTATTTCCCAGACCACCTATGATTGCTTATGGTAAACATAAGAACGTGAAGGAGTACTTGACCTCGGCAAAATTATAATCACTGTAAACAATTAAATAGTAATTAGATAAGAAAGGACACAAAAATAATAATGATATTGCAGATTCACCAGGTGTCGTGCCCTAAAAATACTACTACATTTGATATGTTACCACAGCAAGAACTAATCGAATTGTAATTACATAGTAATTATAATTATACAAGGCTAGGGTACCTGATGAAGATTTACGGCCTTGGTCAAAAATGACCTAAATGATATCCGAAACACCAGGTGCAGCTTAATCATTTTTAAATCATTGAAAATCGAAGACTTCTACTTAATTACCACACATCATTACAGATGAATAACCATTGCCTATATGCAAATGAGTAAAACCAGATAATCTTCTCACAGACACACACCTTTCTAACAGTAATTATTTTACATAAGAAAGGTCAAATCAGGCTACGATAGAAATAACCACAAAATAAATATATATGCAGCATAACTTCTTTAGAAAAGTCTGTACAGATATCGATATATAATTCACCTATTGACAAAGGTGTTAATATGTGTTGCTGGGATTGGTAATGGACACGGCTATTTATAAAAGGTCAAATCAGGCTACGATAGAAATAACCACAAAATAAATGTATAGTATACGCAGCATAACTTTAGAAAAGTCTATACAGAAATCGATATATTTCACCTATTGACAAATGTTTTGCTGGGATTGGTAATGGACACGGCTATTTATAAATTGTATGTTCGAAGTCTCTGCTTCACACGTTGTCCAACCTCCGTATTGCCTTGATTTTGTGAATCTTGGTAATCTCCTAGTAGACTTATTAATGCATTGTCTCTATTATACTGATAATCAGCATTATTGAACAATGGGATGTGATATGAACTGAAATAATATCCTAAATACTACATTACAGATGAAAATTGAAGTTAAAATAATTCTATTTAAAAAGCAATCTATAAAAAATATGGTTTGGTTTTTTTTTAAATATAACGTCGATTCGCATATTTAATGCAGACCTCGGAGACGGAAAGAATACAAGTAATTATGGAATTAAAATCACATTATTAAATGGTCAATTTATAATTTGAGCCATAAAAGCACACTTGCAAAGTTCTATATACCTACCGCAAAAACGTATCAAATGTAGATTTATTGATGGGTACAACATTGATGGGAATCTGTAAAACCATTTAGGAAATGTCCTTTGTGCTAAAACAATGCAGCGGAAACCTTTGATGCAATACAAATACGCCTAGACAGTGACTATATCTGACAGAATACTCTACTGAATTCACATGGATAGAAGCAAACTGACTCTAAAGAAAAAACCTAGTAACCAGAACAACATGTCAAACACAGAGTCCGACCTGGAATTAGGGAACATGAATGACGAGATACCATCGGGACAAAGAATAACTCTACCCCAGATAATACTAATCAACTTCAATCTTGGGAATCTTGATGAAGAATTTGAGAACGACAATGACAGTCAAGAAATAAATAACTGTATTAGAAACATTAACGGAATGCTATCGAGGAGACACAACACCGCCACCTTGACAAGGGACCTTAGACGTTTTAAAGGAGATGAATTACCAGACTATGCCAGGATACAAAAGGCATCATTTAATCCACAGCTAGGATCTAGTGACACTGAACTTTTCTTTTGAGGCAAAATTCAGGATCTCAATAAAAACATTAGAACAAGTTTCCGGGAAACAATGTTACAAGCAGCCACGGAGCATTCGGAAAAAATGCAAACTAATAGCGAACAGATATGGAGGGAAGCCTGTACAAAAATCAAAAACGGAAAAAATATTACTAAACTGAATAATCAAGTGCAAGAAGTCAAAGAAAAGTGGGCAGAAAAATATAGAGAGGCAGCGCTAAAACCAATTAGTAAAGAGGAAATCAAAAACGAGAGAGGAGGAGATGTACAGAAGTTAAAAAATGAAGTTGGTCAGATAAAAAGGAAATCCCAGAGGGAAGAAGAAACAGAACTTGCAAAACTCAGAAGGGAAATGGATGAGTTAAAAAACAGTATGAGAGACAATAGAAACAGCAGAAACAACAGAGGATCGTTCAGAGGAAGACGTCGCCACTTCGAATATTAACTACACTGCATATTATTACACTTACACAACAATACTCAGTGCTCAAAGTGCTCAAAATTAAAATTCAGGGAACATTACGACATAATTATATATAATATTTATGAAAACTGGATTAATTTATGGACACAGCTGGTACTAAAATATCTGGAATTCATAATTAGTTTAACTCAGCAGGTAATGATACTAGTATTACATTCTATTTTATTTTTATAAAGACTATAAAGTTTCAAGATTATGTCCGTCTCGGACAATTTGTTAATTTTTACCAACTAGTACGCAGATGTGAGATTCTTTAAGAGCTGATATATTTATATTCACATGTAATATTACTGTTACTAATTCATATTATTGCATTAAATTATATAAAATACTACTATGCTTGCATCTTTATTAGATATAATTTAAGATATTTGGAAATTACATTACATGACGAAATATTTCAGTATTTGAGAGGTTAGGTCATACGCTGTGTGACGTAGTTCTGTTCAACATATGATGCTTTTTCATTAACCAATCAACTTTCTCCTTTGCTCTACAACAATTTATGAATATATTTCACGAACCAATCACAAGCCAACACGTATATACACGTTCTTATCCCGCGCAATGTTAGCGTACTCGTAAGTGCTTAGCAAATTTCAAAGAAACAAGATTATTGCATATAGACATCATCTCTGAGAGGATTTTTTTCGAAATAGAAAAAAACTTCTAAAAAACGAGACCGATGTAGCAAATTTCAAAGAAATAAGATTATTGCTTATAGACATCATCTCTGAGAGGATTTTTTTCGAAATAGAAAAAAACTTCTAAAAACGAGATCAATGTATAATTAAAAGATACCAAATAGACACACTTATAGGTATCATCTCTGAGAAGATTTTTTTCGCAATCGGTAAAAAAAACTTCTAAAAAAGGAGATTGATTATTAACTATATTACACCAAAGAAATTCACTACAGCTTATATCTCGCAATTAGAGATTATAAGCAAAGCTATCTCAATTTGAATCTAAATAAAATAAAAATATCAGCTAAATGTTTTCTATAAAATATTCTGACATACACATTACTTAATAGTCTTACTGATATTTTATTCAACATTTTACGGATATAAAAATAACATTTTATTTAAACTTGATTCAAAACCCCACAAACAACGATTTGTGGAATTAGCTCGTTCTTTTCAGGATAAGATATAGTACTACATTTCATCAATATCATGACAAGCAAGATACTATGGTTGAAATCCTTAATTGATATCTTGAAGATCCTTGAAGTCAAATTTTATTCCTTCTTATATTAATATTCAAAAGAGTCAACATTAAATTAAGCAATAATGTATTAATAAACAATCACCTTTCTTTAATGTTTATTCATTTCGTTCGTGTATATTTTAGAAATTAAGAAATGAAAACTGTAACTGTACTAAGTTCAATTTTCGTATCGTTTATATGCCTTACGGAAAACCGACCTTTTCCGGAATCGACTTTTGTTTTATCACCGGAAATGATTTTGAAATTTGAATTTCGAAACGAAGACAGGATATCAACAAAGAGAGCCAAGAAAATTGTTTGTTACGCGATATATACTCACTTGGTAAGAATGATTACTATAATCTGTTAAGATGAAACTTGTGCATTCATTGTGTGTGTTCAATCATAATCGGAACCAAATTACATCTGTTTCTGGAGGTGCGGATCAAGGTTTTGAAAAAAGGGGGCCCTGCCCAAGGCAAGCAAACGTTTGGAGTGATACTTGTAAATAGTCTATGCATTTATCTTATAAGTAGCTCCATAAGGGGGTCGGGGCCCCTAAATCCACCACTGTTCAAGCATCTACGTACACCAATTATGAATTTGTTCATTGATATAAAAAAATTATAAGGATATGTGGCTTATGTGTTTGATTGCCAATACACCTTATCGCTATTTGTCCGCCATTACTGGCCATGGACATTACAAAAGTTCCTGTAAAATGTTGACGTCATATTAGAAAATATTTGACACCACAATTGAAAGTAATACACCTTATTGCTATTTGTCCGCCATTACTGGACATCACACAACTGTCACAAGTTCCCTTAAAATTTTGATGTCATCATAAAAAATATCTGATGCCACAATGGAAAAGTGATTGTTGTTTGACGTCAAAAGTTCAAGCAGGATAGATTCTCGGGTCAAGCGGGAATAGCGATAAGGTGTATTATTGTATGACGTATGCTGACGTAAAAAGTTCAAGCGGGACAGATTTCGAAATAAGGTGTATGAGACAGCTATCCACCAAAATTTAAATGACTTGGATAAAAGAAATTATAGGTCGCTGTACGGCTTTCAAAACTGAGAAAACCAATAACATATAGTCCACTTTGAAGCCTTGACAAACAAATGTTAAATTTGTCTCAACACGATTGAAACAAAACAACTAACTGCCTACAGTAAATACACATTATGAAAAAGAAATTTGACAGACTTAAACCAACAACTATTGCAATAAGCATGACTCATTACCTTGTCTCCGAGGCACACAAACAAGTTACAATAACACTAATATAAGCACCATTTGAATATGGATATTTTTTTTCTAGTAAAATCAGTGTATGAGTATGTATTTACAAAACAGTAAATTAAATTTCCCTTAACAGCTTTATGAACATTACAAAGACTATGTAAGACTTCAGTACAAGCAAGATAATATAAACTGTTGCTTAAAATTATATTTATTGCTTCATACACACAATGTACATACAATGTATCTTTTATTTTTTCAACAGGGGCTAAAAGAAAAGCCACAAAAGACAACTTCAATATGCAGGTTCTTTGGAATGTCTACAACCTTTCAGGAGAATTTTTTTTTGAAGTAAGATTTTTATACAGAATTACTGTTATTCCAAATTTAATTCAAATATTTAGCATAAACAATGCATTACATTCAAGATTGAGGGCATACAATACAGAAAAGATATCTGGAAATTTGAATAAATTATTTTTTTTGTGACAAAATAGAAACAAGTTGTTTATTTGAATCAATCTTTTAGTTCAACAGTGTGCTTACATAAACAACATATTTGCTTTCCTTTGAAGTATTTCAAATACATATAAACAACTCATTTAATGACATCTGTGTGTTTCTCGGAAGTTAAGTTATATTATTATCATCATTGCGAAAACAATGCGTAACACTTCGATAAGTTATTATGTGCCTATAGTATACTACTAGGACTGTATCATATGCCCTTAGATACAAATGACAAGTTATAAACTATGTCACTCTACAGAGTTTAACACTTAAAAAGGACAATAAGATGTTTAATGACATTATGTAGCAGGGCTTTTAAAGGCCCCTACATGATACAATGCATTTAATGAAAACTAAAAAAAACAAGAAAAACAACAGCCTGATTTATACAAAACAATAAAAGAAAAAAAATATGATAGACAACAATCTACGAGTATAATGAAATAAGACTCTTGACTGGACACATATCTAGTCTAAAGTATTTTATGTGTTTTTTTTTTTAATAACTAAATGAAGTTCAGCGTGGCATATTGCTCTCTCTTAACACGGTCAGCCATTTATTGTCCCCTTCCGACAGACTATCATCGTTATTTGTTTCAAAACTTTAAAGGGGAGGGGATGTATATCCTTCAGGCAACGTGAATCGTTCTATAATAAAGGAATGTGCAAGAAGTTTATATATGAATGTAAGATTAATTTGTTTTTCAGAAGCATGGCACAGCAAGAAAAAGATACAAGACACTACAAGACATTCCAAGTGATTTTGAATAAGACAATTGATTGACTTTTTCAATGTATTCTTAAATAAATCAAATAGTTGATGTAAAATGGTGTTTTGTTCTCATCTCTTCAGCCAATTATCAATGATTATTGACTTAAGATGTAACCCTATTAGAAGTGTAGCGTTTTAGTTTAGAAAGAGAAGTTGTATTGAAAAATCTGAATTTAGGACACAAGTTTTAGTCAGTGTAACTTGAACTTAAAAATGTGTATAATGTTTGCATAATGTCCAATGGCATATATGTCATGCATGTTCAGGTTGACATATGCATGATGTGTATAAGATAGGTAATAAAAGTTGAGAGTGAAAAACTAAACATTATACCATTGTGGTTGGAATGTGGGCTTTCTTGCACTGTCTGTCGTCTGTCCACCTATATTTGTCGGATTTTGTCCAACAAATATTTTCATCACTGTTTTTCCCAAAACTGCTGATAAAGATGAGTTCATATTTAATGAGCTGCTTGATAGTGATGAAATGTGATGTGTAAACATTTTTGTATCTGGCACCTGTTTCCTGTTTGCTTATACATTGTATTTCAAAATGTTGAATGTTCTCAAATTTTTCATTACTTTAATTAGTAACGCTGATGAACAGAATGACTTCATATTTGGTAAGCGGCTTGACCATGATGAGTTGTGTCTGCCATTTTTGGATGCGTCAACATTTGTAGATACTTCTTGTTTTTAGAGACTTTGAATTGTGAATTTCATATGCTTAGCAAAACAACTGATTTATTCTTGTTTGTATAAAGAATTAATCACTGTGTATAAATTAATTTAACTAATGATTTGTTATTTAAAAAAGCAGGAAACTCAATCAAAAGTACAGAAATTTTTATATTGATATGATCTAGATATCAACCAAAAACATCTTCTTAAAACATTTTGAAAACATTTTTTAGGCACAGTCTCATTTGCAAGAAAACATCCAAAAAACATTTTTATAACATTATTTGATGTTCATGATGTTTTTCAACGTTCAGAAAATATTTCTAGAAAATATTGTTTAAAAGATTATCAAAATGTTTTATACGCCATTGTTTTTCACATTATCATGATATTTCTTTACAACATTTTAATTATATTATGCAAATATTTTTAGAAAATATATTAGAAAACGTTTTAGCGATATATATTCTACCATACATTTAATATTTTTCTCACGTTTTTTGTGATATTTTCATGACATTAGACACAACATTTTAAAAACATTTTAAAGATGTTTTTATGTTTGCTAGGTATATATATACAGACACTAAAGTTAAACTTTCAGACATATAATGGTTTACTTTTATAAATTGTAACTTGAATGGAGAGTTGTCTCATTGGCACTCATACCACATCTTCCTATATCTATAGACATTGGATTCTCAGAAGTTCTCTGGAGTTGTTAAACACTTTTATTTACGAACAACATCATACTAGATTGTGACTTATTGGACGTAATATTCTGTTTGGATTTCCGTACAGTTACGAGAAGGATTCTGGATATAGAAAAGATAAAGGATCCGACTTATATTTTGTCAGTAAAGTTGACATTTCTATTTGTGTAATACTACTTGTTAACTTGTGTATAATAAATCTTGTTAAATTTTATTATTGATTTGTGTCTTTTGTTGGCTATCATTTAAAGGTGATTTCTGGCCGTAACACTGAGTTGTTAACCAATGTTTGTTTTCTTTTTTTTTCTATGGGGGAGGGGGGGGGGGGGTTGTTTTGCCCAACCGTTAATTTTTTATAAAGTGATGTGTTGGTCTGTTGTTTGTTGGTCGTGGTCCTGTTTTTTTTCCTTTCGACTAATATGTTTAGGACAAGAATAAGACTGCTTATCGCACCGCGGGTAAGTTATGGTTTAACGCCGTCACGTCGTGACCCCTATGGATCCGTAGGGGGTTAGTAAATTGCATAGGGGGTTCATGACGTCACGTCTACCTTCAATGGTGACGTCATCTATTGGGGTTGTTGTATTTCATTGTTTTTGTTTTACAAAACGCAGCAGGAAAAATCCCGCGTGCAATAAATTCGTTATACGGTCCACTACTGACCCTATACGGACCATAGAGGGTGAGTAAAATCCATAGGAGATTCGGCCTTCGGTCTCACCCCTATGAATTTTACTAACCCTCTATGGATCCGTAGGGGTCAGTATCGAACCATATAACTTATAATCATTGGTTCTAAATTACACAATACATGTTGGCTGCGAACAGGTGCAACTTACCACCGCATTTTCATTTTCAACTCAAAAAATAAATCCGCCATAATTTTTAAGATGGGAACAAGTTCTCTATATATAATGTTAAAGCGATTTTTTTTATAAATTTTTTTCGTTTTGTCGCATTTTGTTCATTTGTTCGTGGTGTTCTACGTTTTTAACTGATATCTTCTATAAATTTACTGTTTCGAAAATGCTGAACTTTTCGAAATACTTAGGTTTTTCTGCCTCAGCCTTTAAGTTTTTTGGAACAACTTTTTGGAATTTTCGGTATTTATATGCTCTTCAAGTTCGTATTTGAATTGGCCTTTTAACTCTTATCTGGCGTCACTGATGAGACTTATGTAGACAAAACGCAAGCCTGGCGTACACAATTATACGCCTGGTATCTTTGATGAGTTCTTACTTTGTTAATGAGTGTATGTCAAATGTCTATTCGAATCCTGTATTAATTGTCGAGAACCATAAACTCATTTTTGAGCAAATACTTTCATAAAAAAATTCTTAATAGAAACCAGGATTAAAATTTTGTTCGCCACGCTAAATTTACACAGATATCTAGGTAAAAAATGTAATAATTGATTACACATAAATATTATTCAAGTTATGTCATTTTGTCTGCTTAGTTAATTCGGATCTTTTTTTTGAATCCTTTTAGTCTTGCACAGTAAGCCAATACATCAACAGATTTTCCAAGAGGCTGAATTACAAATCCGGATGTGAAGAATATGATGTTAGATAATACATTAATATTGGTAGAACAAGAGTAGATTATAACAGTTGACGATTTCATAAATGATATTGCATGATTGTATCGGACGTTATCGATTGGTCGAGAATATTTTACGAAAACACCTTGACCGAGAACCGTACTTTTCGATTATGAAATAAAACATAAACAGCATTTTTCGGAGCAGGTTCATTTATTAGACCGTTATACCTGTATAAAGTTACATTGAAGAAGCTTTACAGTTATCTGATGAAAATATAGCTTACAAAAAATTTTACAACCACACAAACTGTTCTTTAGGGGAGACAACTCAAATTTACTCAAGCATATTTATAAGTCCTGAGCTTGACATAATGTACCAGTTGCAACTCTTGATGTTCATTACATTAAAGACAGAAAAAATTCGGTTTTAACGAATAAAACTGTTGCAAGAGAAGGCATCCAAGTAAACAAATTAGGAAAAATATTTTAACGTTTAAGCTTTGTTAAGGCAAGTTATCCTGTGTGGAAAAAAAACGATAGTTTTCTAATGTTTGTGGTAAATGCGTGCCAATTTGAAAGATGAATTTAATAGGCAAAGCTTAACTCGGTGATATATATATTGATATATATTGATACATTTTCATTAACTTTACTTTTACAATTTCATAATCAGTCCTTTTCACAACTGTATGTCCGTCCTCGATGTTATTGATAAACCACCTAGGGCCGAAAAAGCATGGCTATCCGGAATCTTTTAGTCACTGGTAACAAAAAAATCTAAAATAAAATTATTCCCCTTTTGCCGACAACCGATAACTATACAGTCTTCGAGATGAAGATGTTTTCCTTGTTAGTGAGACAAGCACTTAAACGTTTTATCAACTTATTAAACCATACGTTTAAAACCGTTTTTAAACGCCACAAATATTCATGTCATAACGTTACTGCATCTGTTAGACTACATATGATTTAATATGTTCTCATTCTACATAAATTTAAGAAACATTCCTGTCAGATAATCGACTCTATCAAAGTTAATACTAGTATATGAACTATACCATTGCAAATAGTCAATATTGATTGTTATTTTTGAATGAAGAGATATCGTAATGAATAAAGGGACCAAACAATACAATTTTGGTCTAAAAGTAGGTTGAATGACAATTGTTGTATAAACAAATAAATACTAAATCACCCTTCCATTAGCAATAGCTGATACTGCATTGCATCTTTTTCAGGATTGTTCTCTAGTAAATGAGAGCAATGAATGCTTCACTTCAGATTTTTGTAATGATTATAGGTTGCACTTTGTAAATACAGCTGTTTCTCAAACCACGCCTCTTTTGGGGAGATATATAATATTCATAGATATGTTAATTTGTTAATGTACTGGTTCCCATTTATGATCTCTGTGTTTCATCTCATAGAGACATCACTTGGGAATGTAACCAGTATAAAAAAACATGGTAGCGCCTAAATTTTAATTCTTAGGAGGTCAAAATATGAAGGTAAGGGTAGTATAGAATTTTAGTATAAGTTTAAACTCCTAGAAGTTCAGGGCATATAAATGTTGAAAATATGCCGCACAGCCCTATATTTTGACCTTTGAATTAAATGGTAGTGCATATAAACTTTATGTTCTGGGATATTATTTTTCACGAAACTTCATAGTAAAAGTGTCATAGTTTTAGCCACAAAGAGAGTTCCTATGGGAAATAGCATTGTCTATATTTACAGAATTGCAACCTATATATGTATGTTATCATTGCTAAGGCCCCGCCACACAGTGTCAGGGCTATATAGTTTTCCCCGTATCCGTCATTCCGTCATTCCACAACAAACAGATATACGGACTTGTTTTCTAATTGCCTTCACATGTTGAGCTGACTTTTAGTATGTGAGTCTTCTATGATGAGTTACAGATCGAGTTCACGTTTGGTTCCTCTCTGCTGATCTTTGCTGAAATTACGGGCTTTGGACTTTTAAAATTTTGTGGAACAGTTATACAGACTTTAATTCTCAAATTTACACTCCTAAAAATGGCTTCACGACTTTTTTGCCAGCTGGACCATTCCTGTTGTTCCAACACATCTTGTTTTATATTTTTGCATATCATAT